GGAACAGCGTGTGGTGATGATGATGTTTCTTGTGAACGAAGGCGTAAAACCTGCGGAGATCTACAGAAGACTTCAGGCGCAGTACGGTGATGAGACTCTCAGCCGCAGTAAGACATCTGAATGGTGTATTATTTATGTTTTTTGTTTCAACATACTGTCACCCTAGCAATACAGTGTCACCATGGTGACACTGTACTACTTGTGGGGGGTGATGAAGTTTTTTTTTTTTTTTTTACACTGATTGCTTTTACACCCATAAAGGCTGTAAAAGAAATCATTTCTCCTTCTCTCTGGCTGCATTCTTGCAGCCATTGAGAAATACTGAGAGAGCTGTGATTGGTCACAGCTTGCCACATGGTGCAAGGCTGTTGTGAATAGCCCTGTACCATGTGACCTCTGTGATTATTCACAGATTTCACACGTAGTAAACGATGTCAGAAGTGACATCCTGCATACTACTATTCATTTGATCACTGATTGGCCAATCAGTGATCACATGATCGGGACCTCACACAGAGGTCCCATACAGCGATCGGTGTTCCCGGATCACGGTGCTGCACGCTCCAAGGAAAGCAAGCACAGGCTAAAAAGGCGGGCGCCATTTATAAACAACAACCCCTTTCTGTACTGCTCCCGTCCGGCCATTTATATACATGGGCCAGACAGGAAGTGGTAAAAATGGCGGTGTGGAAGAGCATGGCCGCATAGGTGTGAACCGGGGGTTAGAATGGTGAATAAGAAGCATGGATAAACGGGAGTGTAAAACCTATTCTGGATCTACAATCCAGCTTGTGACTGCTCCTGCTCTCCCCCGAAATGATCCTGTGCTCTGATTTAATTTATTTATTAAACTTCAGCTCCCACTGCGTTCTCATCAGGAAGGAGAAGGAGCTTGTGCCTCCAATTATAAAACACTGTCTGGATTGTTGTGTATGCACTTCTATTAAAGCCATTCTCCATTAAATATCCGGTTCCAAGTTATAAGCGACTAATGTAATTTTGTACCTGCCAGCGTACAACAGGAGATGGTACAGACTGGCCACGCTACAAGAGATGGTACGGGACTGTGAACATGTGCTAGGAGTTGTGGGAGACATAGGCTAGGGATACATTACATAGAATGCCAGAGATCACTGATGTTACAACCCTTTACAAATCATTACTTCCACATTACTGTGCCTCATCCTCTCAGCAAGATCAGAAAAATTATAAAAAGAGAAAAGGGAGAGAAAAAAGTAAGATTGTGTGAAAGAAAAAAAAAGAAACCCATTTGAAGTGATTGTAAACCCATTGTTATGCTTACCTGCTCTGTGCAATGGCCATGCACACAGCAGCCCTGAGCCTCCTTATCTCGGATCCCTCGCCAGTGCCCCTGGCTCCTCCCCCCTGCAAGCCGCATGCTATAGGGGCACTCATGCGGGATTGCTCCTGAGCTGGCTCTGTATGTCCATAGACACACGGGTTTATTTACTAAAGCTGGAGAGTCCAAAATCAGACTCCCTTCTGCATAGAAACCAATCAGCTTCTAACCTCAGCTTGTTCAATGAAGCTTTGGCAATGAAACCTGGAAGCTGATTGGTTTCTATGCAGAAGGGAGTCTGATTTTGGACTCTCCAGCTTTAGTAAATAAACCCCACAGAGTCTGGCTTGGCCCTGCCTCCACTCCCTCCTCACTGGCTGTGATTGACAGCAGCAGGAGCCAATGTCTCTGTGCCTCTGAGGAAGGGAGAGAGCTGCTGCTTTCATGCGCATCTCTGGATCAGGCTCAGATAAGTATATAGCCTTTAGAACCACTTTAACTATTGTTATATTTTTACTATTACAATATTTTCCCTTCACTGTCCTGAGTAAGCACCTAGGTAAGGAGAACACAGACTACTGCCTACAGGTGCCCAGAGAGCCACATGTGGCTCCCAGGCTGCAGTTTGGACATCAGCAGCCCTTATTTTCATGGGATAGACAGTGCCTCTAAACCACACATTATTCTTGCTCTGCTGACAGGTTTGCTTCAACCACTTCCCGTCCGCCCTATAGCAGAAATACTGCCACAGGGCGTTCACAGGTGCGCAAAATCACATATATATTTACAGTAGTATGCTTACAGTGAAGCACTAACACACAGCACCTAGTAAAACTGTACACAGTTAACCCTTTGATTGCCCCGCATGTTAACCCCTTCCTGCCCAGTGCCATTAGTACAGTGTCAGTGCTTTTTTTTTAGTACTGATCAATGTATTGGTGTCACTTGGGATGTCAGTGACACCAAGCCAGGTCCCCCCAGTGTCAGAATGCCCGCCACAGTCCCTCTATAAGTCGCTGATTGCCGCTATTACTTGTAAAAATACAAAAAAATCCCAGTATATATATCACCATTTGTAGACGCTATAACTTTCATGTAAACCAAATTAATTTACACGTATTGGAATTTTTTTTAGCAAAGACATGGAGCAGAATACATTTTGACCTAAATTTATGAGGAAATTAGATTTTTTACATTTTTTTACTGAACATGTTTAATAGCAAAAAGTCAAAAATATTGTTTTTTTTTTCAAAATTGTTGGACTTTTTTTTTTTTTTTTATGGCGCAAAAAATAAAAACCGCACAGGAGATCAAATGCCACTGAAAGAAAGCTCAATTCGTGGGGAAAAAAAGGACGTAAATTTCATTTGTGTGCAGCATTGCATGACCGCGCAATTGTCAGTTAAAATAATGCAGCGCCGTAGTGCAAAAAATGACTGGTCAGGAAGGGGGGTAAATCCTCTGGACTCCAGTCAAATTGTTTATTTTCCCATGCAGTGGGGCTGTGCCAGCACTACATGGGATAACTGCTCGTTTTTTGCAAGAGTTCAGGAAAAAATCTATACTTACCCCATCCTCTGATCCTCCGGAAAACTGTGCTCCCCCATGTCCAGCGGTGGACTGTTCCTGCTGTCCTCACATCCAGAGCCAGTCTATGGGTGTGATGACGTCAGGAACAGCCCATTCACAAGATGGGGGGGCAGGAGCTGTGGGGATCGGTCTTTTGCTCGGAGGACCAGCGGATTAGGTAAGTGTATCTCAGCTTTTTGAACACATAGACAAAAATGAGCAGTTAACCCATGCAGTGTGGGGCACAGCACCACTGCATGGGAAAATAAAATTTTTGCCCGGATTTTTTTATTTAAAGGGTAATGTCAATTTCTTATAAAATTTCCTTAACTTTTTGCTTCCTTTCCTTCCCAAGTAGGTCTAACCAGCCCTCCCACCCTTCAAGATTGCTATACTTACCTAGATTTTGCTGTGAGGCCTATGAGATTGGTTGAATCGCTCCCGCGGCTTCTTGACCTGACATCTACGCCTGCGCAGCTCTATGGAGCTGGAAGATGGATTCGCTGTTATCTGTGTCTCCGGCTGCTGACTTCGGATCAAAAAGCCGACGGTAGGATCGGCCTAAAAGCAGGATCTGGGTATGTATATTGGGAGGGCAAGTCCCTCACAGGGGGGTTGGGGCAAAAGAGTAAGGGAACTTTGTGGGAAAGCCACACCAATGAATCGTGAATTTGGTATATTGCAGTGCACTTTGCACGTCACTATCTTTACACATCCTTATTGCTTGGTACAGCAGTGGGTGATGTGCAGTAGCAGCCAATCATTGTTCACATTTCTGTAGCCAGATCAGTTAAGTCATTTTTGATTGGTCCATTCAAACCAAAAACACAAATCACTGGAAAATACCAATTTGTTTTGCATGTGATTTTAGACTGTAGCTTTTTTTTTTAATATATTTTGCATTAATTTCCAACCAAAGCCGATAAAATTGTACTTAGGATTTTCAACAGCATTTATTATTATTTTTTTTTTCATCCTGATTTTCTTTAATTTTCAACAGCATTGCTTTAATTTTTTTTTTTTTTTTTTTTTTTTTTCATCCTGATTTTCTGTGATTTTCGAAAGCATTGATTATTATTTTTTTTTTCATCCTGATTTTCTTTGATTTTCGACAACATTGTTTCTAATTTTTTTTTTCCATCCTGATCTTCTTTGATTTTTGACAGAATTGATTATTATTTTTTTTCATCCTGATTTTCGACAGAATTGATTATTATTATTTTTTTTCATCCTGATTTTCTTTGATTTTCGACAGCATTGATTTTTTTTTTTTTTTTTTATCTTGATTTTCTTTGATTGCATTGAATACCCCCCCCCCCCCCCCCCATACACACACACACTGAAACAAAACAATAATATTGTGGAATTGATGAATGTGCAGCCAGCATAAAGGCATCAGGCAGATATAAGCAGGACCCTGCCGGGTCCTTTAGTGCCTTTATAGCTGCCCAGCTTAATCAGCCTACTGGTCCTTGTAGCAGGCATTGTGCATGCCATCATACAGGAGTGACAACACCGCAGGTGACCGTCCCTCCCACCCGCGACATGACACGTGCTGGCAGTCACCTCCGCCACATACGGTCTCTGGGCTGTAGCTGTCTGAGCTGCTCTCCTCTCTTGGCTCATTAACGAGCTGGTGCAGACTTAGAACCGCCCAGCAACCAATAGCTGCTCAGGAAAAGAATATGGTTATGGAAGGGGGGGAGATGCAGACTTGTGTTTACACCGACCCCCCCAGACTGAAGTGGGGAGACAGGCAGTGAGGCAGCGTCTGGGACACAGCAAAGGAAGAGAGAGAGAGAGAGAGAGCAGAGCTATAGACAAAGGAAGGGAAGGAGAGAAGAGGAGAAGAAACACTGAAAACTCCTGGGCACTGATTGGGACTTCTGACCTTCTCCTGCTGTGCCAACGTCCTGCCTTCCAGCGCCAGAATTCTGCTGCCCTGCTTCCTGTCTGCAGGTATTTCTCAGCTAACCCTTTCCTAGCCTCTTGACTCTGCTCTGCACCTTCTGTATTGCCCTCTGCAGCATCCTTCCACCTCTGTGCCCTCCTCACCACCCACGTGCCCATCCTGCCTTCCCGACAGTCTAGTGATGCCACTGTGCAGCAACTTCCCATAGGAAAACTCAGCATGGTTCAACATAAATCTGTTGGGGGCAACCCAAAGAGCCAAGATGCAGTCCCCGGGGGCCCTAGCTGGTGCACGACCCCCAGCGGGCATATCAAGCGTCCGATGAATGCCTTCATGGTGTGGTCTCAGATCGAGAGGAGGAAGCTGATGTCTCTGTGCCCCAACATGCACAACGCTGACATTTCTCGCAGCCTCGGCCAACGATGGAAGTTACTGGAGGACACAGATAAGATCCCTTACGTCCGGGAAGCCGAGCGCTTACGGCTCAAGCACATGGCCGACTACCCCAACTACAAATACAGGCCACGCCGGCGCACACGGGATCCAGCGAGCAGGACACGTGCCAGGCTGTCCCGTACAACGTCGAGGTGCCAACCTGCTTCATCTCCGTGCCAGTCGGAAGTGAATCTGGGATCCAGAATGCACTGGGGGGAGGAAAGCTCCGGATGGGGGGGGCAAAAAGTCGGCCAATCAGAAGATACGCCGAATCAGGAGTCGTCAGAACGCAGCCCAGAGGTGCCCCCCTACTCTCCTGCCCAGCCCCCCCATGCCCGCTCATTGCCATCTTCACCAGAACCAGTGGAGGAAGATGAGGGACTGGAGGAAAGTCTGCCCGGGCTTTGCGCTGGGTCGCTCTACGTCCCATCGGACAGGGACCTCCTACCCAGCAGCGGGTCTCACTTTGAGTTTCCTGATCACTGCACTCCGGAGGTGGTGGAGATGATCTCCGATAGCGGTCTTCTTGGAAGTGTCTCTGACTTGGTGTTCTCCTTCTAGAGCGTTTCGAGAGGACCCGGCAGCAGGCAACACCTTGTTGAACTGTATACAGACTTTTTCCGAGCAACGAGAAAAAGGTGATTCGCATGGAACGTTCTCTCCGCAGTCTCTCAGCACTCTCCGTCTTAACCGTCTCTCTCCGAACACTCATACTTCAGTTTCTCAGGGTGCTCTCTGCTGTCTGCCTACGCTTCTGACTCTCCAAGCTATATCTCTGACGTTGCCATCTGAATTCCTGGCTGTCTCTTTTCAAGCACTCTCATGCTGTCTCTCAGTGCAACTCTCTAGCTGCCCCTCAGAACGAGCTGTCACTATGGTGGGAGCTCTCTCTGTTGTGCTGACCTCCTCTCCGCCTATTACTAATACAGACAGACAGACATACTGTGCACACTTCTGTCAGCACTATGCATGCATCAGTGTCTGTCTGTCCATCTCGCTCTCTCCTGTCTCTGATTCTGGGAGTCCAGCCCGGTGCAGACCCCTCCATCCGAGCCGGGGTCACCCCAGCCAGGTAAGGACATGCATACCTCTGTGTATGTATGTGTGTATGTGGGCCATTATTGGACCGATATCTGTCTATGTGTACGTTTGTCTGTCTATCTAACTATTTATCTATCAATACCTCTATATTACTGTAATGGGTCTATCTATCTATCTATCTATCTATCTATCTATCTATCTATCTATCCCTCCCATATCTATCTATCTATCTATCTATCTATCTATCTATCTATCTATCCCTCCCATATCTATCTATCTATCTATCTATCTATCTATCTATCTATCTATCTATCTTTCTATCATCCCATATCTCTCCCCCCCCCATCTCCATCTATCTATTCCCATATCTATCTGTCTATCTAGCTATCTCTCCCCCCATATCTATCTATCTATCTATCTATCTATCTATCTATCTATCTATCTATCCCTATCTATCTATCCCTCCCATCTCTATCTATATATCCCATATATCTATCTATCTATCTATCTCTCCCCCCCATATCTATCTATCTATCTATCTATCTATCTATCTATCTATCTATCTATCTATCTATCTATCTATCTATCTATCCCATATCTATATCCCCCCCCCATATCTATCTCCCCCCCCCCATATCTATCTATCTATCTATCTATCTATCTATCTATCTATCTATCTATCTATCTATCTATCTATCTATCCCCATATCTATATCTCCCCCCCCATATCTATCTATCTATCCTCAGGACAGTTGCCACTCCCTCCTCTATACAGCGATAAACCTCAGGACATATCTCAGGACACCTGCCCTGTATTTCAGGGTCTCAGACACCTTCAATAAAGAGCCTCAGGACCCCCCTGTGCACAGAGACCCCTCCCCTTACGTCTCAGTTTATCCTCAGAAGCTCTCAGGAACCAAATGACCTCAGATTCCCTCCTCTAGAAGGGGGGCTACCAGCCACTCTCCACCTCCCCACAGCCTCAGCAATGTCTGAATGTGTGTGTCTGCCTTCTCTGACGTGTCTGCGCAGATGAGCGCTTGCCTCTTTCTGTGTCTGAATCATTGAATGTATGGCTCTCAGCATACGTCTGAGCTGCACTTCACCCACACAGCACACTTGCATCCTTTCTCCAGGCCTCGCCTACACATTCTGTATATTTACACAGTGGACTGGAAGGTCAGCTCAGCAGAGAGTGCTACTGAAGGGCATCGATGCATTCCGTTGGGTTGGGGTATTGGGAGATGTTTTCCTTAAAGGAGAGCTCCAGTCAAAGACAAAAAAAAAAAAAAGATAAAACCCATTCTTAAGCCATAAAAATATCCGCTATCTGCCTGTACCATTTTATTTTTGGTTGAGCAGTCAAACGTTGATTCTGCCTCCATTCTGTATATTTCCACTTTCCGATCCCACTCGTTTGTCAGCAATGCATACCGAAGAAAGAAAAGGCTACCAAGAGGTTTCTGTTTTGAAGAGGTTCTCCAGAAAAAAAAAAAAGAAACTCCTTCCACTTATTCACAAAGGGATTCACATCCTTCAGTTTGTTCTTTCACACTACTTGGCTGTACTGTGAAAGCTGGGGGCTGCGAAAAACCTGGACATATCTGAAATCAAAGTGTGTCTAGAGGTGCTGCCATAGATCAATAACCAGCCCTCACGCTCGGGAGAGTTTAAAAGATAGACAACCTTTGATAAAAAAAATATATATAATATATCCAGGTAAAAGAAAGCACGTTGGTAAACGTGACCTTTTATTTTCCTTTCATGGTCTTCAAAGACCCAGTTCAGATTTTCTTGTTAGTCTTCGGACATACTTGAGGTAGGGTTGAAGGCATTTTCGAAACACCAACTTGTGAAGATAGTTCAGAAGTGACTGGTGAGGATTTGCTGATAGGAAAGTCACATTGCTGCTGGAAGCAGGGGCGGACTGACCATTCGAGCACTCGGGCACTGCCCAATGGTCCAGGGTCAGCAGGGGGCCCCATGAGATGCCCTTGATACCTTTCACAGGCTTTTTTGGGTGTAGTTTGAGCATTGGCGAGGACACAGAGGCCCCATAATTTCCTATTGCCCAGGGGCCCCATGAGTTGTCAGTCCGCCCCTGGCTGGAAGTGTTTTGTTTTTTTTTGTAAGGTTTGGGGGACATTTTCTTTCATGCTTTTCTGCTTTTTGTTACCTATTGATGGCATGCACTACATGAAAACATTTAGGCCCCTTTCACATGATCAGTCCGATCATGTCTGCCTTTCTGTTTTTGAGGCAGACCTGATCGGACCCTCCATTCTCCTCTATGTATACAATGGTTGTTATTAATTTTTAAACAATTTAAGACAGGAGCAACAAAACACGCCCACGCAGGGGCTATCAATTTCACATAAAAAATTTGAAAAAACAGTGCTCTAACACCAACAGAGCAAAAGGTGCGCCCACGCAGGGGCTATCGATGGCACATAAATGACAAAAACATTAGTATAACACCGACAGTAAGGCAGGCCATAGACGGGCTGTTTATCGGCCAAATGTTCGTCCGCACGAAAAATCGGCCGATAATAATCACACCATTAGTGGGGCCAGCCCATCGGCCGTTTTTCGCGGATCTGCTCATTTATTTTTATCAGTCATGCTGGAAAATCTATGAAAAATGGCTGTTTTTCATGGACATTGGTGGCAGCAGCATCGACAACGGGGCCGACCGATTTTTCGTTTATCGGCCGACATTTCTATTCTATGGCCTGCCTAACTCAAACTAAAGGCAGCTATCCACTGCCACACCAAAAAACAAACAAAAAAAGAAAAGGAAGGAGGAGTACAAAAGAAAAAAGATAACAAAACCAAGAGCAGGGGTCCGAGAACGCCAATACCGAACAACATCACATCCCCAGACTAGCCAGGGGGAGCGAGGGACAAATCTCCTCTATGAACCAGCAGATGCAAACGGACATGTGTTCGTTTACACCCGTCTACCTCCAATTCAGTCCAGGCCGAGGAAAAAAAAAAAAAAGAAGGGGATCTGACTGTCTGGGTGGGTTGGAGGGCAGCCGGGTGGTCTGTTTACATCCGACCGCCCATAGAGCAGAGCAGGCTGGGTCTGTGTCTGCTCTGCATAAGTGGAGAGGACACAGACCTGTCAGCCGCCTGCTCCACTCTGCTCAGTGGGGAATCAGACAGATCCTCTACTAAGCAAGCGGATTGCTTGTGAATAAAGGGCCTTAATGGCTCCTGGAACTGACTTTGTGAAGAGTAGAAGGATACATATGACAGGTGCTCATGATAGTTCTCATTAACTTGGGGCTTACTAAGGCCGGCCATACATAGGTCGAAATTCGACCGATTTTTCGTCCAAAAATCGGACCTAAGAATAATCGGCTGTTAGTGGGTCAATGACACCGGCCAATGTTCGTGGTTCCTCCCCTTTTTGGTGATCGGGCATGTTGGAAAATATATGAAAAACTACCGATTTTCAACTCAATGATGGTCAAATCGTACAATCGTTTTTCCGAAAAGAATATGCCCTGGAAGGAACAGAAGTTTTGCCTGTTATATGGGGTGAACTTTATGACTGGGTCGGCCGATCTTCTAAATCATTGATAGCGCCATTGGATTACCGAGCGAATGACGTTTTCGATTTTAGGACAAAAAAATTGTTCGGAGTTCGAACCATGTATGGCCTGCATTAAGCGTGCACCCGTTGAGGGCCTTGTTTACCTGCACACTGTGTGATATCGGAGACACGCACCTACACTCACATAGATGTCAAATTGGAGCAGCGGATGTGTCTGTGCAGCTGTTGCGTCCCAAAATGATATCAATGGGACTACCTGCACAGAGCACCTGCGCATCTGTGTGCGGGTAAACATGGCCCTCCACACGCATACACTTTAGTACAGTCCGTGTAAACAAGGCCTTGAAGTTGAACTCCCCGCAAACTGCTAAACACACATCATATTAGTAACTTGGGCCCATTCACAATTATGTGTTGTGGGGTTGTGCGTTTAGACACATGGATAACATGCATCACCACAGCACATGACATCACACCTTTCAGTACCATTCATGGGGAATGGCACCCAAATTCACTATAGAGTGTAATGCAGAACACACAGCAGTGTACCACAACCCACACACACCATGCGTTGTGGTGTGCCGCACTTTGCGTCATTTACCTATCGTGGTGTGTTGGCAGCCCTTTCATTATAAATAGGCTGAATTGCATAATATTTTGGCATGTACTTCAAATGTGTGTTTAGCCGCCTGCCTGGGGTTCTGGAGTTAAAGCGGTTGTAAACCTTAAAAAAAAATTGAAATGTTTAAATACAACCAAAAGAAAGCTCTATTTATGTGAAAAATTTATATAAATTTCATTTGCGTATGAATACTGCATGACCGCCAGTTAAAGTAGCACAGTGCTGAATAGCAAAAAATGGCTAGCACTGTGCATAAGAGCCATTGGCTGCTGCTGCTATTAAATCATATCCTATGACAAGGGTGCAGGGAACGGGGCTGAGTCCATTGACACAGAC